TGTGATCTGTTTCATGATAAATTGGGTCCTCAGCGGATATCAACTAGCCTGATTTACTGGCAAAGATCAAGTTAGCAAACATTGTACAGAGTAACAGAGTGGGAGGGAGCTAGGTGTTTAATTTATCGTGGTGCAGCCAATGCAGGTGGTGTGGTAAGTTTAGATGACCATGATTTTACACTAGTGTCTGGGTTTAATAACATAGAATCTTCAAAATCGGTTGCCTTGGTTGCCTATACAGTTGAGCTCTTATGCTCGTTTTACTGTTGAGAGTTGTTGTGCTTTACTACTACTTCTGGATGTCTGTACCGTTGTGCTCTTTTGCTCTCGTTTTAGTGTGGAGAGTTGTCGTGCTTTGGTTCATATATGTCCGGAAATCATAGACTACGAGGAGGGACTCAAAAAATGGCTTCCAGGCCTATAGCGAACTGTTTGGCATGCATCGGGAAGACCGAGTTCCTTTCTTACCCTGCGTTTCCTTCTCCTCCCCTCTTTTACAGTGGAGTCTTCCTTCATGAATGTGCTAAACGTGGCTTCACTTTCTAATGCTTGATTTTTTTATCGTAGTTAGTATGTTTATTGAGGTCAAGATGTTTACTACGGTTAAAAGATTACATGTAAATAAACAGATTTATTGTGTGTAGTATGGTTGGAGAAAATTGTTTCTTCTTGTGACAAAAGTAGAAGAGATTTGTTCTAATTGCAAGATACAACCAAATTATGTTGCTTATGGACAACTAGACATATGGATTCGGAATACATGATTATTCTGTTTGCTTACGAATAATGAGATATTTTAAGTTTCTCTTTCTGCAAGAGGCAGCGTGCTAGAGGTTATGATCGATCATAAATTATAATTTTTATAACCGATCCTGACATTTATTATAATTATATTACAATAAGTTATAATTTAATTTAAAAAATTATAAATTATGGCACGATACCATCTTTAGTATCGTAGTTAGTTGCAGTTGAAGTCTTATTAAAGAAGATGATGATGAACGATAGTTTTGCGTCCACGTCAAATGGATCTTTTTCCCAACCCGTGAAAGCCATGTCGAAGATCATGTGCTTCCACTCAGTTTCTCCCACGCAAGGACTCATACATACCGAATCCGTTTTAATAAAACTTTAATTTGACAAAGAAATGTGGTGTAGGTTGGGTGACTTGGCTACAAAAATTTTACAATATATAAATAGGAAAAATAGAAGAACAAAATGGTTCGATGATTCACCGTTGACATCCCATGTGATTGTAGCCTTGGCAGGTTGGAGATTTGCGTAAATCACGCTCTCATTTACACGTCCCACCACCAATTGTTTTCTCTTCTCTATTCTATTTTTCTTTTATATAAATTATATGCCTACGTTATTAAATGCATCAACCAATTGTAGAATACGGCTCTTAATCAGAGATGTTATTGATTAAAATAATATTATTTTATATGAAAAATAATATTATTTTAATCAACAGCACATCTGCTGTTAATTTTCAAATAGTAGAGGATCCTAACCCATAATCATAATTTTGTTGTTCTAATTATATATTTGATGAATTTATAATTGTAAAATAAAAATTTTAAAATATATAATGAAAAAATTGACTAAGAAAGAAGGTATCAAACCAGCACGAAGCAAAGAATTTTGGTCTAAGGACCACCTCGACTCGCATTTACTGGACAGTTGTGTCTAATTGATGAGACTCAGCATGAAAAAAAGTTCTAATAATTACAAGAGACCGAAAATAACAACAAATTAAAGGAGATTGAGATTAGACCCACTTCAATTGAAAAATAACCCCATCCCCCCCAATTATTTTATAGGCTGAACATGAGCCCTTCCTACTAAAATTCAAATTCTTTCACACTTTGTAAGTTTAGCTCCCAAAGGATGAAGAATGTGCGTCATTTTTAACTTTAAAATGGTAAATTTTGATGAAAAAATCAACGAAAAATTAACAAAAGTGTCACGTAACAACACTTTTAATATATTATGGGTATAATATAAAAAAAATTAATCTTTTATGGTATAAAGTGAGAATTTTGAAATATTTTAGGATATAAAGTGTAATTCGTTCTACAAATTATATATATCAATTGAATTTAAAATTTTATATAATAAAGTGACCAGAACTCAGCCTGATAGGCGGACCCACCCATTCAATCTAAAATGATCTGCCCCACCAGCTCAATCAAATACATGATGGAGACTCTCGGAGGCCTCTCTCTCTCTCTCTCTCTCTCTCTCTCTCTCTCTCTCTCATCTCATGGAGTGCGGCTTGGAGTTTTGTGATTTCAGCTTGGCCCCACTCACACGCCACCTCTCTCTCCTGATGTTTTAGGCAGCTTAATTATTCTAGATTGTATTTGTATCTTGAATTTTCTAGCTTAACTTTAAAAAAAAAAAAATATGTCTTAAAGTTGATTGAATTGAAATTCTCTTTAATTATTTTTAACTAAATTTGTTTAATATTTTACAGTTTAACTTAAATTATTCCATTATTTGTAAAATTAAATAGGAATATAATGGCGAGTACGTAAATATAATACTTAGGGATGTTCACCTAAGCCGAGTAGAAATTTTTGGATTCTACGTGTGAAGGCGATGAGTTATAGAATACTATTTATTTGATCAATTCTACCCAATTAAAGGTAATATTTAGAGTCGAATTCCGTTAAAAAATAGGCTCAAAAGGTCGAATAGGAATACGAAATACCTCACAAATTTTTAAATTTTAAGTTGTTAATTTTTGAATCATTTTAATAATTCAATTATCAAAATTTTAGGCTAATATTCTAATTAAACTGTTAAAATATAATATAAAGATATGTAAACTAACACAATAAATCTAATTAATATGTTTTTCTCTAATAGTCTAAAATACTGTAAATAAGACACTATCACATGTCATTTTCTAAACGACTGTCGAAGTCGTTTTATAATACACATTATTTTTTTAAAAAATTTAAATATGCATGTAAAAATTTTATAAATATTTTACATTCTTGATATTTATAAAATACTAAAAAAAAATCTTTTATTAGTCAACCAAAAAAATTTTAAAACTAAATTATCAAATAAAATAAAATCAAAATATTATGAAACGGGTCAAGTCGGCGGAATTTTGAATACCCAGCCAACACTCCCTGGTTGGCGGTAAGGAAGTAAAGGACTAGATTCATCCACCGTCGTAAGCCCACTTTATTCCAATCTCCGAATCCATCCCAATACTGCCACTTTCCCTCTCCTAATTGGTCAGTGAAAACCACGCGCCCCAACACTCTTATTTTTAAATAATCTCACCTCCGACTCTAACTCCGACCCCGACCAATAATAAACAGCCATTCTTCAACCAACCACCTAGACAACTCACCATTTCACAAAATCAATCAACAGCAATTTTGAAACCTCTCCATATCTCTAAGCCTCCGTTCCTATTATATAGAGTAATAGAGGCTTCACAAGACCCGTAAATTTAGCAGCCCACCCCCCTCTCTCTCTCTCTCAAGCACCACCATTAGAATAGCCATCAATTTTTGTCATGGGAGACGATGAAAGGGTAGCGTTTTTTAACAGAAACAAAGCTTTCGCTCGTTGCGCTTCGCACGCGCACGATGAATTACACAGCTTCAGATCATGGTTGAAGTGGATGTGTGTGGACCAATCTAATGCGTGGACGGCTTGTTTGTCATGGTCTGTGTTCATTGTCCTCGCAATCGTTGTCCCATGTCTATCGCATTTCGGGCTTGCTTGTAGCGATTGCGATAGCAAACACAGTAGGCCCTATGATGGGGTGGTTCAATTATCTCTCAGTAGCGTCGCTACCTTGTCTTTTGTTTGTCTCTCAAAGTTTATCAGGACATATGGGCTTCGAAGGTTCTTGTTCTTTGATAAGCTTTGTGACGAAAGCGAGACGGTTCGAAAGGGATATACAGAGCAGTTCAATGTACGTTTCTCTTTCAATCTTTCTATGCATTCTCATTGATCTTAAGTGGGTTTTTGTTGGAAAATTATGTGGCACTTTTTTATTTTGTTCTGAATAGATAATATCGACGACTCATTGTAAGAATTTTGAGTTCAAGTACTAGTTTTGATGATTATCACAACACAGAATTTCATGACAAGGTCCTCTGTTTTCGTATCTAAACTTTATAGTTATTGTGCCGGAGATAATCGCGGTTTAGGTCCAGTTTTTGAGGATCCATCGTTCACTTAAATATGATAATTGCATGGATTAAGGATTTTTAAAATCATGTGTTTTTGCAGAAATTAAGGAAAGAAGGAAAAGTCCAAAAGAGTTCAACAGATAAAAAGTCCTTAATATTCTTAACCACAGCTGTTTTATTGTAGTTATAAAAATGGGGGACAGACGGGACAACATTCCACAGATTTAATGCTAACAGTTCATATTAACTCAAATCACAGCTGGTGAGCGAACCAGTTGTGTTTGATTGGCAACCACTCTTCCCTGATGACTATTCCTATGTACTATGATCCAAAGTCCTGATTATTATACTCTTGTTCATTATGATTCAACGGAAACCCCATATAAGTGGATCTCACTAATACATAAGGGTGGTTTATGGAAATTAAAGAGAAGTGTATTGGAGATGATCGAAACACACATAGGCGTGTGTTTACTTTTGGTATTAGCTTGGATTGTATGGGCTAACGTATTACATACCAGTTTATGAACTGTCCACCCAGTAAAAGAACCGTTTTTAGTTCACGGCAGCTATTGTTGATTATGGTCAGTATTCAACCTAAAAGGCAAAGAGTACACATAAATCAGCATAATGATGTGAATCATTCTCAATGTAGGGGAAATGTCATTGTTACTGTTTACATGATCAAAACCGCTAATTAACTATTCCTGATCTGTCTATGTGTTAGTAACTGATTCCATCTGATTGGTGGTGGATATATTAAATGACGAAACCAAACAGATACCTAACTGTGTCTCATGCATGCAGAGATCACTGAAGATCCTCTTCATATTTGTCCTACCTTGTTTTGCTGCTGAGAGTGCATACAAGATATGGTGGTACAGCTCGGGTGCGACTAGCATTCCTTTCTTGGGCAATGTCATCGTGAGTGACACCGTAGCTTGCATTCTGGAACTGTGCTCTTGGCTTTATCGGACTGTGGTTTTCTTCCTGGTGTGTGTTCTCTTCCGTCTCATCTGCTGCCTTCAGATCCTCCGGTTACAGGACTTTGCTCAGGTCTTCCAAATGGACTCTGATGTGGAGTCTGTCTTGAGAGAACACCTCAGGATTAGGAGGCATCTAAGAATCATAAGCCATCGCTACCGTGTGTTCATTTTGTGGGCTTTGATATTTATCACAGCAAGTCAATTCGCCTCTCTTCTCATGACTACACGTTCCACCGCTGAAGTTAATGTATTTTATGCTGGTGAACTTGCGGTATCCTTCTTATTAGTCATTCTCCTTAGAGCTGTTTATTTACTTACTGGTTAAATTTGAGCTTGAAAGTGAGCTATTCACATAAACATCATTAGGATTACAATTCACTGTAGGCCCACGCTGGTCACGCAAAATAATGAAATCACCGCAATAGGTATAGCACATACACATTCTAGTCATGTAGTTAGCTAAGCTCATCCAATTAAGTTGTCTTGTTTAAGTTTTTCCCTTATATGACAATTTCATGATTTTGTGATAAGGGTTCTTCTACCATGTGAGTACTCGTTGGATAGGAACTAGAGTACTCTATAGGGACACCCTTGACATCTTCACTTCAGTGGAGATGAACACTAAAAGCCGTCTAGGACAATTGTCATGGTACAGCCCTTTATTTTCGTTCAAGTAGTTGGTTCGTAACCTATGACCATTATGGGGAAGATGCAGTGATTGCAAATCCTCTCATCTAAAAAGATGGGGATTGTTGCAGATGTTAAATCAGTTCTTCTTAGTTTTATTTCTTACGTGAGCACAAATGCTCTGACTACAGTTCATCTTTCTTTTCCTTCTCTGGTTGTTTGTATGTTGCTAAACTGAAGTGAGTTTGTTGGTGGATTTGTGTGCAGCTCTGTTCTGTTAGTCTTCTTGCTGGAATCTTGATACTACTGCGGAGTGCAACGAGAATCACCCACAAAGCACAGGCTGTGACATGCCTTGCGGCGAAGTGGCATGTGTGTGCAACAATAGACTCCTTTGATTCAACTGAAGCAGAAACTCCAACAACCAGGGTTGCCTGTGACCAAGTTTTTCCAGTGAGTACTGAAGGATCGGATGCTGAAGATGTTGGTGATGAAGAAGACGAGTTAGACAACACTAAACTAGTCCCATCATATGCATATAGCACAATCTCATTCCAGAAAAGGCAAGCCTTAGGTGAGTCGGATTCACTATGATTGTATGAGAACCATTTAGCTCAAGAAAAAGCTTTACCAGCTAAAGATATTAAACTATCAAACTTCAAGTGATTTAATGATTTTTTCCCCCTTGTATTTGCAGTGACGTACTTTGAGAACAACAGAGCAGGAATTACAGTGTATGGATTCATGCTGGACAGGACTTCGCTTCACACCATATTCGGGATAGAGTTATCCCTTGTGCTTTGGCTGCTCGGCAAAACCATCGGTTCTCTTTGAGAGACTGGCTTATTCAAATATTCAAGATTGTGTTGTTCCTTGTCCTGTGGATGCTTATTCTTTGGAGAAAACGAGCCGTGGAGAGAGAGAGGGGGGGGGGGGGGGAGTGATTGCCTAGCTAAAGCCATAGACCGAGAAAGAGAGAAACGACGGCCGGTGAGCATGTACAGTACCATATATTGGATTTGAGTTAGTATTTGTCATTGTATTCTTCTTTCATTCTTTTCCTTCTTCTAGTTTCTTGTTGCCTTCCGTCTTGGTTTGGCATTTTGAATGACTTGGTATGCCTTTCTTATGGAGGTTGTATTTCTATTGCCCTCTCCTTCTTCCGCGGGGGGGCGGGAATTGTTGATATTTTTTTCTAAGTCTTGTTATAGTTATTAGGCAAACTTCACTTTATCCCCTTGTTGGTATACTCCAAATGCACTTTACCTCCCTAACATTTAAAAACCTCCACATAAATGTCACGCAGTTTATAGACTAAAATGCAATGTCACACTTTTCATCCAACTTAACAGGGTGTGTCCCATGCATAGGATTTGACAGTTGATATGTGCGTCTCTATCTCTCCGGTGTCCCAACTCTGATCGTCTCTCTCTCTCTCTCTCACACACACACACACAAAGAACACACGTACCCACCCACACATAGGGATGACAATGGGCCGGAGAAAAATGGATATTCGTCCAAATCCATCCCATTTGAACCGAGGATAGATCACGTATTAAACGATAAATGTAAACGGGATACCCGTATAAATCAATGTGGAGATGAAGTTGAGGATGGATTGACACTTACCTCCACCCTACCTTGCCGGTTATATATATATACTCCCAAATCCCAAACGAAGTCCTAATGGACTCCTCTGTGCCTCCCCTCCATTGAGTGTCTCCATTGCTAGTTGTCTCCCTCCTACACTATGTGTGTGTCGCTCTCTATTGTTTATTGTTGATCTCCATCGTCTATCGGTGGTTGTTGGTTAAAGACGGGGAATCGGGCGGTGGCGGGGATTACAAATTTACCCGCGGATAGGAATGATGATGAAAATTATACCTATTAACGGGGATGGATCGAAGATGAACGGAGTTTTTTTAAGTGGGTATGGAGATAGAGACTACACTCTCGCCACAAACTTCGTTCCACTGTCATCCCTATCCACACACATAGAACACAAAACACACCCACCCACATGCACAACACACAATCTTTCTCATAGACACACCTTCTACACCCATACACACACAGAGAACATAAAACATACATACCCACCCACATGCACAACACAGTCTCTCACACATAAACCTTCTTCTACACCTACCCACACACATAGAACACAAAACACACACACCCACCCACACACATAACATAGTCTCTTACACATACATAACACAATCTCTCTCACACACATACACACAAACCTTATTATGCATATATACACTCACAAAACCCACAATTTAATTTTGGTTCTAATCCACCTTGTTGCACACACACAGTCTGCACACAATAAGGGAGGGAATGGGAGTGGGTATAATTGGTTTGGGTTTTGACTTTGATTTCGATTCATTTTTTAGTTAGTTGGTGTCTAGAGGTGATTTATGAACAAAATGGCAGGGGGAATGGTGGTGGTATAATTGTGTTGAAATAGAGAGCAGGATGAGAGACAGAGGGGGGAGAGATTTTATCGGGTTAGAAGAAGGGATTTGTCTTCCCTAGAAGGTCTTCAAATAAGAGAAGAAAGAAGGAGACAAGTAGGGGTATTAACATTATTTTAATTTTTTTGTTAACGGTGTTAGGATTGCATTTTAGTCCACAAAACAGCAAGAAGGTTATGCGGTGATTTTTAAATGTTAGGGACGTAAAGTGCATTTGACGTATATTACAAGGGGGTAAAGTGAAGTTTGTCCTTTTATATATGTGAGCCCCGCTCCAAACAACACCATGATTCAAAGACCTTGATTGCAATTGCACCTCTAATTTGATGAAGGATATGTATCCTATTTTATGTTTATTCTCTACCAATGGTAATTTTTAGGAATAGTTCCGTGGTTGAGTCTGATCTTTGGTAATTCAGAGATCTCATGTTCAATTTTTTTCCACACCTTCTAAAGGACGATAGTTGTTGAGTTCGAGAAAGTAATCGATATAATTTTAGAAGTCCTGTAAAAAACACTAAGGATAAATGGATAATGAATATTAACTAACTTTTTGAAATGTCTATTTTGGTGAGATATTATTGATTTGATTGTGAATGAACATTAACAGTGACAATGATAAAAATAACAATGATAATGAAGAGCAGGGACAAGGGTCCATTGTTCATTCAAGGGATGAAAAGGTTGCAACCTAGTTTTCCTTTCCTTTTTTTTTTTTGTGGTTATGGTTTCTCCATTTCAAATATGCCAAAACCGAAACCATGGAAAGGATACCACTCTCCTTAGCTAGTGCCCTGAGTTAAAACTTAAAACACAATAAAAACGTCTTCCTCTTATATTGCGTCCCAAGTGAGAAGATGAATTAAAGGGGCTCGATCCTATGTTGAATACCACACACATAAACTTATCAAGTGTATTATATATAAATTAAGGGTAATTCGTATTTGAAGGCATGATGTAATATAAATAGTTTTGAGATGAATGTTGGTGACCGTTTGATGAATTTGTTGAAGTTTGGTTTGTTTTATATTGTAAATAATGATCATTTAACCGTAATATTAAAAAGTAAATTGTAGAATCTATATAATAAAGTAGTTTACAATTCAAATTTCAAAAGAGAAACAAAATGACTTTTACTTTTCGCGGTTCAGATCTCTTTAAACTTTATTTTAAAATTAATCTAATGACTAATATTAATATCATAAATTTAATAAGAAAAATAGGTCCTAAAGGTGTATTTGAAGTGACTTTTTAAAAGTACTTCTACGAATTATTTTTCATAAATACTTTAAAAAAAATAATGTTTGAAACAACCCTACCACTACCACTACCTTTACCACCACCACCACCTTCGCCACCGCCACCATAACCACCACCACCACTGTCGTCGCCATTGTCATTGCCACCATCGTTACCACCATCGTCGTCGCCGCCACCACCACTATCGCTGCAGTTGCTGCCGTCGTCATCGCCCCCATCACCACAGTCATTGTCATCCACCACAACCATCACTGTCTCCTACTATCACCACTGTCACCCACCATCTCTCACCCTGATTACAAACGATGCTTAAATTTATTTATCTCTCCTCTATATTTGTGATTTAATTTTAGATATGAATACAAATATATTTATTATTTTTTATTTTTTATTTTTTATTACTCTGTACGTTCAGACACAGATAATAATTAGTTATAAAATATTACAACTCTTTAATACAATCTTATATTATATTTGATTGTCAAAAGCACTTCAAATAAGTCATATCCTATAAAGCACGTGTACTTCATCAAGGTTGACGTACCCGTATCCGATACCGTATCGGATACGATACTCATTGGATATTCGATGATACGTATCGGATACGCATCATCCGTATTTGACAATTAATAAAATATGTGGATATTTCGCGGATACTTCTAAATATGGTGTAAGATGTATAATTTTCAATTTTAAGCTATAACCCTTCTTTGAAGTTCACATACAATATAAAACATCAACAAACTTCCATCTGATTTTAAAAACACGAGTGTTTTTTAAGTATTATCTATTATTATATGTTAAGAGGGCATAAAAAAAATGAATCACTTACACTATACTACTTTAAAAATAAATACTTGTAAAATCAACTAGTTAAATGTTATTATAATTTCTTTAATTTGCCATGCTCATTTTATGAACAGATCATAATGAGATGATATTATAACCTTTTCATTGTAAAAATTTCTAATTTTACTTACTAATGTTAAAAAAATATTGAAAAATTGTAATTTCTAAGTCGTTAAATAATAAATAAAATATAAAATATAAAATATATTTCATTATAGACGTATCCTAGTCGTACCCATATCTTATTTTTTTAAGTTTTGTCGTATCGCCGTATCCGTATCGTATCGTATCCGTGTCACGTATCTGTATCTGTGCTTCTTAAGTCATATCTGTATTATTGAACCAATTATAATATCATACGGAGAGGTGATATTATAATTTAGTTGAAATTTATTATGTTATAAATTTCCTATTTCATTAAATGTGGAGGGTATGGCGACACTGAGGGTAAGTGCGTACTAATGGACCAACGGCCTACATACTTGAACAGTTTTATGAGTGTTTTTAACATTATTCTTCGTCTCCCGATACGACATCGTAGTCCTTTTGGAGTAGTTTTTGTTTTTTGGTAAGATCCTTTTGGAATAGTTAAAGAGTCTCTATTCACCAATTAAGTCCTAAAAACGACTTCGTTTTTGCGAACTTCACCATTTTATGAAGGGTCCTAGCGACATTTACTTAAGCGAAAAGGCTCTTCCCCCCAAAATAGGAATGAGAGAAGATTTTATTTTACCATTTTCGCACTTCTCGCTCAGAAGATAGATCTCCAAATGTTCGAAATTTTGATAAAATCCCCAAACGAAGCCGCTCAAATCGAAAGTGTTTGATTATTTGAAAGTATGGAGATAGATTCGGCTCCGATGAGTCGTTGCTCCAAAGAACACCAGAAGATCTATCAGGAATGGTTTAATTATGCTGATTCAGGTTTGTCTCATATGAACATATATGATTTTTGTTCCATTTTTTTGTTTTTTTGTTTTTTTTGCACTGAATTGATCGTTATTGCATTGTTTAATTCAGATAGCGATGGACGACTTACTGGAGGAGATGCCACCAAATTTTTTGCCATGGCCAACTTGCCTCGACCAGATCTCAAGCAGGTAACAGTTCTTTCTCTATATCTCTTTGCTCTGTTGTAGCTCTCTATTTTTACTTTTTTTTAGCGTTTGTGGTTTCTCTGGTCGTTATTCTCTGTTTGGTTACCGGAATTGGAGTGGAAAAGAGTTGATAATTCAAAATTTTAACTCTGTTGAACATATTAGATTTCACTGATTGTATATGATATCAACTGGCGGTGTTATTCACACTCTTGTGGCCCAATTTCACTCGAAAATTTTCAATCTATTTTTCTTAAGCAACCAAAAAAAGGTATTTGATCACGCTGAACCTTATAATCTTTACTGTTGTAAAAGCATTGGAAATTTTACGGTGGATGAGTGTGAGATTTGAATTTCTTGGTTGTTATTTGATGAATTGACTTGGCACTGTCGCCGAATTTTGTTGCTCTTTACGCAGCTTGGTACAATTATCCCAATAGAAATCTATACTATATACAGAAAATAATCAAAGCTTGAGAAGCCTTTCCTCCTATTTTTCTAATTTGTAAGAATTTTGAATTATTAAATTCTCCATTCTCCAATCATATTCTATCAAATGCCTCGAATAACTACCTTAAATAACTACCCATAAACTCCCTCTAACGACCCGTTTATTTAAACTTGTTTTAAACGTCAAATTTTGTAATCCAATAATTTTTACAATATTTATGCTAACTAAGAAAATAGTGGGTGGGAGAGAATAAAGGTTGAAAAAAGGGATTGGGAGGAGAAGGGGATGGCCCATGCATCGCACGGGGTCGGACTCTAGTATCGATATATATCAGAGCAAAATGGGTAGTAGTTCTTATGAGGACTTCAAATCATTTTTCATGCTGATTCAGGGGATTTTGTCTATTGCCTGTACAGTTCGTATTAGTTTCTGTATTTATAATTAACCCAATTGATTAATGAACTTATGTTTGTGTGAAAGAATTATATACTAGCTCAGGAACATTGCTCTGTGCCAAAATGTCTTTGTATATTTATATTGTGATATCTACACTCAAAAGACATAAATGCGTACATATGTGAGGCTTGAATATTTGTAAGTTGGTGGCATCCTTCATTCATTAATAGTTTGCTAGCCTACCATCATACTTGGATTCGTTTATAGCTGCTTCTGCAAATAGTAGTGATGTACTTTTTTGGCTGAATCAACTGGTTTTTTCATGTATGGAGCCCTATATTTTTCATGCATTTGATTTATGCGACTAACTCCAATTTTATATGCTTTTCCTCTAGGTGTGGGCGATTGCAGACTCAAAACGACAAGGCTTTCTTGGTTTTAAAGAGTTCATCACTGCAATGCAGGTTCTAATTGGTTCGTCTGTTCGTTTTCCATAGTTGCAATCCATTTTCGAGGAGCTAATATCTCTATTCACCCTCTAATTTGTAGTTAGTATCTTTGGCACAAGCTGGGCATCCACCAACTAATGATCTCTTAAGTGCTGAAGGTAAACAATAAGTTTGGTTCTTGTATTGCATGCTCGGAGTGCTTCGACCAAAAGTTCAGCTATTAAAACTTCATTCATGCTTACAATTTCTTTCCAGCTATTTCAGTCTATAGTACGTGCCGTGTATGATGATCTTATTGGGGTTAGAAACTTATGACATTACTGTCTATTGCAGTTGACTTTGAAAATTTGAAACCTCCAGTCATGGAGGGTTTGGATGTATTGCTAGCTGTAAGTATGCTACTTCTATTTTTCAGCTTTTCTTATTATACAACTTGTGATAGTATTTGTTTTTTTTTATTGCTAATATACAGAAGAAAAAGCAAACTGCGAAAACAAGTGATCCCGAATTGAATGGTAATGGAGGTTTTAGAATGAAAAGTTCATTTGTACTTTTTCCTTTCAGTTCATCTAATTGGTTATGATGTAGGTAGTTCTCCAGTGCAAACTTCTCCGTCAGCTCATTGGTTTACATCTTCAAAATCTGCCAAGAAGGTGAGATTATGCTTACTTATAATGATTTCCCCTTTTAGAAGAATAATTTTACTTAGATAATTGAGTTGCCTCGCTCCCAATTTTTAGTTGCCAATGTTTCCAATATTTATTTATTTGACCTTGTGTTTCTGTGAGTGGAGTTTATTAGCAAGTGATGATTTTGATGATCAGCTGCATAATTGTTGGATTTTGTTTCCGATGTGGTTATTCCAGTGAGTTTATATAGACACAAAGCACCCAACCTTTAAAACAGTGCGGCCCTGCCTTACTTTTTGGGGGATTCTTCTTTAGAAATGCTTTGCAAAAGTGCAAGCTTTCAAAAGTCATATTATCAGTTATTAAGTATCTTTTTTTTCAAAGAAAGAAAATTTACAAAATTCTTTGCTGATTGAGAAATCCTAAGAGAATAGTTTTTTAACACCAAAATATCCAATTGTTAAAGCACCATTTATTGACTCTTAATTTAAGTTCTTTTGTTAAGAAAAAAACAAAAGGATTTGTTTTGCACAAAACAAAGTACTTTTAAAAAGCAAATACGTATTTTTTTTCTATTTTTTGCTTTTTTCTTAACAATGTTCGTTCCTCTCCCACAAACCTAATTTTGTGTGCTCACAAGGATTAGGTCAAGAAACACACAAAATTCTCTACAGAGAAATATTTTGTTATTATATCACTCTCTAATAAAAATAGTGGGGTATTACATTGATATTTATAGCATAAGTTGCCTACCAAAATAAAAACTATTCTCGTATTAAAATTCTAAAAAAGTTTCATTATCAAACTCTTAAACTCATATACTACTAAATCTCTATAATAATTCCCTAATTAAACTCTAATTAATACTCCTAGTCAAACAAGTACTCCTAAATTAAATGATAATAACACTAATTCTAATAAACTACCAATTACACTTCGCTTTGGACCAAAAATTCCTAGTTTTTCGGCTAAACTTCCAAAATCGATTGTATTGGTCCAATCAACCAATGGCTGAGCCATCAATATTGTTAGTGGTTTGACACAACTTTTGTCTTTATCTCTACCAGATTCTTTGTTGTGGGCTCTTCATAGTCACCACCTCTTCTAAGAGATAAGGATCTTTAAGATTCCATAATTGGTGATTTTGCACATCCTTTCAGTATTCTTTGTATCTTTTCAGGTATCTTTAACTTCTGTTACGTCAATCGTCGATGGTTTGAAAAAGTTGTATATTCAGAAGCTGAAGCCATTAGAAGTTACATATCGTTTCAATGATTTTGTATCCCCCTTATTGGTAAGTGTTTCATCTTGCAATTACTGTTGTATTAAGGGATAGCATAGTACGGTCTAGTTTTTTTAAGGTCAACTTTGCATTATGTCTGGTTCGGAGATCAGCAATGCCTATAACAGGATGTCTCATTTTTTGTTTTTCGTAGACAAATAGTGATTTCGATGCCAAGCCGATGGTGATGCTTTTAGGTCAATATTCCACTGGTAAAACAACATTCATCAAGCATTTGCTTAGAAGTAGTTATCCAGGTAGGTTATTCTCCTCTTTCTTTCTATCTTGCTGGACATGGGGAAAAAATCTTTAACATTTGTTATACATTCACTTAACAGGTGCTCACATTGGACCCGAGCCAACAACAGATAGATTTGTTGTTGTTATGGTATAGTATTAGACCCTTCTCTCTCTTTCTCTCTCTCTCTCTCTTCGTTGTGTGTGTGTGTGTGTGCAAACTTCCCTACTGATTTTCACTAGCTAATTGTGCTTGGTCTTGTCTGTTGACTTTTATTGATTCAACTGTGCTTCCTTACAGAATGGACCTGATGAAAGGAGTATCCCAGGGAACACGATCGCAGTTCAAGCAGACATGCCTTATAGCGGCTTGACAACTTTCGGAACAGCATTTTTATCGAAATTTGAATGCTCTCAAATGCCACATCCTGTGAGTTATTGTTTAGAATTTTCTTTTGGGAATTTCCGATTCATCCTTCCTGGTTCTAAAAATTTCTCTTTTCTTTCTTTCTTCGCTTTTTCTTCAATGTCCTAAGCTGTTGGAGCACATTACTTTTGTGGATACTCCTGGAGTTTTATCAGGAGAAAAGCAACGAACACAACGAAGCTATGATTTTACTGGTGTGACTTCGTGGTTTGCTGCGAAGTGTGACCTCATTCTATTACTGTTTGATCCTCACAAACTCGACATCAGCGATGAATTTAAACGGGTTATTTCATCTTTACGAGGTCACGATGACAAGATACGAGTGGTTTTGAACAAGGCTGATCAAGTTGATACGCAGCAAGTAAGAAAGTGCATTGCAATCTCCCCCCCCCCCCCCCCCTTCCCCTTTTTTTTCCCTCTCTCGCTCCCTTGTTAATCTGTTTTTAAGTGTTAGCTGTATGATTGCCTTACTGGTTGGTGTTGCATTATAGCTGATGAGGGTATATGGAGCATTAATGTGGTCCCTTGGGAAGGTTCTAAATACGCCTGAAGTTATGCGTGTTTATATTGGGTATGCTCTACATTTTGGACATGATCTTGTTTTTTTCTGTAGTGAAAGTTAAGGCCACCTATACGAAAGGCAAAAATACCCTGCGTTTAGGCACTCTTAACATAGTTCGTTGAAAATATTGTGGTGACAGCTCTACTAAGAATGTCTTGGATGTTTTTCTTCTTGCTCCCCTCCTGCACTGTGGTTTTTCACCTTTCACATGTATATGATACTCCGTCCCCCAACTTTGGCAGCTCATTCAACGAAAAACCTATAAACGAGGCTGCTGCGGGTCCAATTGGGAAAGTGCTTTTCGAGAAAGAACAAGATGATCTTCTTACCGATTTAAAAGACATACCGAAGAAAGCTTGTGATCGTCGAGTGAGTTTATTTGATTCACTTTTATGGATTTATTTCTTGCCCTTACAAATTTAGTGGTTGATATATGTTTAAAGAGGCAGAAAACTAAGAGATTCTGAGGCGTGTTTTGTGCAGATCAATGAATTTGTGAAACGTGCTAGGGCTGCTAAGATTCATTCTTATATCATTAGCCATCTTAAAAAGGAGATGCCTGCAATGATGGGCAAAGCAAAGACTCAGCAGAGACTTATTGATAATCTTGTAGATGAATTTGGAAAGGTACATCTTCTCTCTCTCTCGTGCATGCTTTTTTTTTTTTCAAGTTATATATTGAAATTTATCGGCTCGTCGGTACCTCCTTTTCTTCCTTTTTCTTCTCCCATACCCTTCTTAAAATAGGTTCAAAGGGAGCACCATTTACCAGTTGGTGATTTTCCAAATGTTGAACATTTTAAAGAGGTCTTGAGTGGTTACAACATAGATAAGTTTGAGAAGTTGAAGCCTAAAATGATACAATCTGTTGATGACATGCTTGGTTATGACATCCCGGAGCTTCTCAAGAGTTTCCGAAATCCCTATGACTAGAAACAAGCTTTTTGGTAGAGAGATTTGGACAGCGGTAAGATCGGTGGTAATGGTGCAGTCTTGCTCAGATGTCACTGCAATATATGTATTTAATTTTTATAAATAAATTTTGAGCTTTCCTTGATTTGATTTTGGCATTAAGATCTGAACAATTATTTATATCTTCCAATGTCGTATGTTGGAAATCATGGCCATTAGTAATATCTCTGTATACTGCCTACTCTCAATTTTATTTATTTTTAGATGTTTCGATTATTTGTAAGGGTGTCAATTGAATTGTGTCGTGTCATTTTCGATCGTTTAATTTTTGTGTTAGTGTCAATTAATGGTTTAATTTGGGTTTTATGTCGGGTCGTGTTGAAGAGTAAAATTGACATCCCTAGTTATTTGGGCCCCATCCTGCAACGCTGGGCCAGTTAAATACGTAGATGACACCGTAATCTTTCTGTGGAGCATGAAATTTCATTTGAAAAGCAGTTTAATTAAAGAGAATAAAATTCTGAATTATGACAATTCTTAAATGTAAAATTGACTTTAAATCACTTTTTAACGGAAAAAATCACCAACTTTAGCTAATTAAGTTCGAGAATGAAAAGCCCACATGGGCATAAAGAAGGTGCAATTGCCTTTAAACCCATCAGACAGCTTAATATAATGTTAATACATCAAGTGATAATGCAGAACTCTTTGCTTAATATACTCAATATGTTCAGAAATTTTGACAAAAATTGTAAAACTTTGTTGCACTAACTTGATGATCCAAAGGGTTTTAACTTTAACATCCACCCCTGAAGGATCAGTTCAAATGGTAAGATTTCTCTGGTAGTAGTTAAAAGGTCTTTATTTCGAGTTCTAGGACTACCTATCCAGAATGTAAGCCTTGCGATTTACCTAACGTGTGTGGTTAGTGGGGTATTGAGCGAATACCGGAGTTTTTTCTAGTAGCTACATAGGTCTTTGAATTCGGCAATAAATTGTTAGAATTTCCATTGAATTATCAAAAAAAAAAAAAAAACTTTAACCTGCTCAGGGGATTCGAATTGGCTTATTAATTAGTTCATTTACCAGAAATAAGAAAAATTATTATTATTTTTTTTAAAAAAAAAAAAAAATTATTTCAATCACATATCATGTGGAGTGTAGGTACACGAGTAAGAGAAAAGTGCTAGATCAACTGTATTCAGGGATTACAGGCTTGAACCAATGCTATTGGGCCATCCGTTCCACATCAATCCATCTATTTCTAGGCCCATAGCCCAACCCATTACGACCACAGAACTCTTTCTCCACCACTTCCTGGTTGAAGGTTTGCTGAAAATTTGCAGAGTTCAGATACAGGAAAAAATTAGATCACAAGGAAAGATCTGAGCTCTTAGTAAAGGCCCTCTCTCTGAAGCTGCCACCATTGCCGTTAGCTGTGCAATTGTTACTCGCCAGGTATTGTCTCGTTGTAGTTGTGAATCCGTCTTTTTTCATGCTATTCTGCTTCAGTTGTTATTTGAATCTTACCCACGCAACATTTAATTCTTAACATGTTCGTGAGGTGTTTGTTTAAATTTCTCTATTTGGGTCTTTGAAATCAAGCATCAATTTGTGAAATTGATTATACAGGCAATGGAAGGTAAGGTGTTTGTTTAAATTCCACTGAGGAATAAGGTTGAAATATTAAAGATAAACACTTTGTTTCGGATACTGCTCGTTTGAGGGAGGAGTAGACTACTCACGAATTTAACATTTCATGGATGACTTACTGATTGTTCATCCTAGTACCAAATTTCATGGATCTTAGTACAAGTTAGATTACTCGAGGAATCTTCTTTCTAATATTTCCTTAACGGTAAAAGGGTACATAATATGTGAAGAAATCGCTACTCTTGGATCATGCGAATGACCATTCTATCATAATTTGTGTTTCCAGAGAGCATAACATTCTTCAGAACAATGCTGCCGCAACGTATGAAAAAGGCCATCACGGAAAACCCAAAGAAACATGCCAACTTGATTGAGCTTGTGAATCTTCCTTCAACACTTCGAGAGTTCATGGGTCAGTCGCAGACCTCTCGTTTGGGCTGTTTCATGCGTGTTTGGTCATATATCAAGGCCAATAATCTCCAGGTTCTTAATCTCTCCTCAATGTATTTATTTTGGGTACTGAAAAATTATTATTATGGGAATTTCTAGTAAATGCTCATATTTTTTAGTATCAATAAATGGCTTAAGCTGTAAATACTCATTGCCTTATGGCCCTTATCTTCCTTCCTGTATATCATGTGGTTTTCTTAAGAATTTTAGCCTCTTGATTTCCTTTGGCAAATGAAGATAACTATTTTCTGTAATATCATGGAATGTGTCCAATCCTTGTAATCTTGTGCAACTTCTGTATAGGGTCTCGACCATTTTATATATCAAGTGCTTGTTCATTGATGATTTTAATGACATTTGATTTTGTTTGGCAAATGAAGATCTCCCTTGGGGGGCACACAAGATGGTCTGACAGGCTAAAACTCTAGAAGCAATGAATAATGTTGTGTCTCATGCCTTGAACATTTCTATCATTGTGTATTTTAGGAAGGTTTTCTTGTATCATTGTTTATCAAATTTATAGTGAAAGGTTGAATTTGTCATGAGACAACTATTTAACAAAGGTAGACCTATTGGTTGAAGGTGAGATCCATACCAGCTACAGCTTAACGAGAAAGCAATTTAATCTAGACATCGTGGTACCCTTGTGTCCTTGCCAAAATATGTTGCACATAATATTGAAGCATAGATTGACAAAAGGCGATATCTTTGTGCAATGAGTAGAAAGAGAAACCCTGGAGTTATGCTGAATCAAAATCCCTTTTGGATGTGGTACTCTTTAAATACTAAGATTCTAAGTCCATAGCCTGTTAGTGGGTTTGTTTCGGAACGAAATTGTAACACAAACTAGGAACCACAATGTCTTATATCAGAAAGGTTTGCACCATCACCTTGATTGAATCATTTCAAAACTATTTTTCCTTACAAATATATTGGGCTAGCTGGATTTGCTCTGTTTGTTTGTTTTGAATCTCCAGCAAGTGCCAAGATACAGAACTCATAAAAGTCCATGAGAGGCTGTGCAATTTGCTATTAAAAGTATTGAATTTTTCCTTTTTTTCACCATATCTATATTGTATATAACATATGAATTGAAAACTTCTAATATTATCTGTGTCGCTTAGGTTTGGAAGAAATGGGAGAACATGCACTTCGTTGTCTTTGCATTAACATCAATACATGATAATTTTTTGCAAGAGTTTTGATGGATACATGACTAGATTCATTACCTTAACCCTGACTGGAAGGTAGTTTTTTTCTTGTTTAGGATCCAAACAACAAGAATGTGGTCAACTGTGATGATAAGTTGAAGAGTATATTGTTGGGGAAGCATCAGGTCGAGCTTGCTGAACTACCTAGTCTGATCAAACTGCATTTTCCTAAACAGCCGAAATAATTTTCACATTTGAGATTGAGGTGCTTAACTTCATGTTATTAATTATCCTCCTCATTATTTGAGTTCTCAGACACCCTAATTGTGGTGAAAATATTGAGCCTGTATTTGCATGGTTGAATCTGTGACTGCTAGAATGGATTGAGCTTTTGATTCCTGCTATAAACTATCCAACACTAGGTTTGAGTCTCTCTGCATAGCATATTCATTTTGTAGACAATGTTAAAATTATCATATTAAGGAATTTAAATTGTGGCTGAAACATTCTTTTTTCACTGTTATTGAAGGTTATACAGTAGTTCAATGATGAAGAATGTTGCTTTTTCGTCATGAAGAGTGTCTCATATTCATATAATCATTTGCTGTGGTCTACACGAAATATCTTAGTAAAGAAGTCGACAAACAAATAAATATGATCGGAGGAATTATCTCTCTTTCCCTCTTTCTGTGAAATAGGATTCAGTCCAGAAAGTAACCTGAACATTGAATCATTTGCATAGACCAGCATTGTTTTTCTCAGTGGTGGTTTATGGCCTTTATGACTTCGCAAGCCCTCTTCCTTGGCCAGTTCCATGGGATCACCTCCGTTGCATTTCCCCTACCAGCAAGCTAGAAAGAGCACCTGACGGTTATTGTTTTTCTTTTCGTCAATGGTAAAAATCAAACCTAGGAGCACGACCCCCTTATGACCTCTCCTTTCAAATGCCTTAGCTATCATGCAGAAATGGCTCTGGCAGATCCCATGAAACTTGGATGAATAGGGAGTAATTATACAAATGCAGCTAGAGAACTCCTGACCGCGTAATGTGCAACAATGCCATTTGTTTTCTCTGTAGGGTGGAAGGAGTCCCAAAATACATATTTATTTGCATCCATACACGTGAAGGGGCTGAATTTGTTACACATGTAACCCATCTCAAACGTTCCAGTTGCACAACATGCTATTGCTGCATTCTCAAATCCTGTAATTAGGAACAATACAAATACGATCACTTGTGCTAAGAAGGGAATCCCAGAATAAGATATGTGCAAAAACAAAGACAATACAGGCAGTGAAAAAAAGGATGATTCCATAGCCCATGACAGAGGGAGGATTGGGGATATGTATGCGTTCAGGCACTAGCTATGGAAGTTTGAGTGTTTGTGTGCAGGAATGTAGTGCTGGTACTATTTTCTCTATGACTTCCTATCAAAAAGAATTTCTATGATTTGAGATTTCTACAGGACCCAGATGGTTTCTCAATTATCATTCACCCATAGTGACCCATGCTATACCCATAGGGAAATCATAGAAGAGGTGGGTGGATCCATTGCAAAAGTATGGTGTCAGTTCTATGATATACCTGTTGGAATGGACGACCAGAGTTGATTTTGCATGACCTCTTGGCATGCTTATAATGCCGGTTGTGAATTTTATGATTCAGGATAGCAAACTTACCAAAAGAATTAGGGTTCTGAATTATTTCCAATAGAATATCATATGGGTTTGAAAGCACCAATCGGATCCCAGCAAGCTGCTTATTCAGCTTCACAACCAATCTTTGCAACTTCCCATTGAAATCCCTAGCCACCTTATTATACTCTTCTTTGCAGGCTCTTCCATTTATTAAATTTGTGGTTCTCTCCAAAGGCAAACATCCCATAGGAGGAAGTCCACCCAGAGATATCTTTCGAGCTCCAAGCCAATAAAGCTCTGTGATAAAATTTCTTGCAATCCCTACAAGAAAATTCTGGTACTCTTCCACAGAATAAACCGATGATCTGCGCGGATTTATGAAATAGTTTTCTAAGAAATCATTTGTTCCTATGCTTATTAGATACATTGCATCAGTCATGACC